TTGCGACTTAGAATCATACAGCATGAAGTCATCATCAAGTAAAATCATCATGACTATGTGTGACATCAATTACGCATCATGTTATCATCATCAAGTACATCAATTACATAGATGTCATGTAATCATCATCAAGAACAAGTATATATGGATTATATGAGTATCATGTAATCATCCTCACAAGCAAATTGATTTATTGTGCCATCATGTAATTATCATTAAATATTTATCATCATGATTCATCAAATTGTCCATATGATATAATGTGCCATATTATGAATATTATTATTATACTTTTTGTGGACATATATATGTAAATGTATATGTCTATGAATTATTCTACAATTCTAGCGTGGTACCACTCAGCGGTTTCGCTGAGCGTGTAGTTTGTATATTTTTCGTTGACTACACGTAGGTAACAAGAAGACAATGATGGAACCTTTCCCGGAGGGCATTGAGTCAGAGGAGATACAAGGATGGCAGGCAATGTTTGGTCAATAGATTTTAAAATGTGTCATGATTTGATTATTATTGTACTTCCGCATTACTCTGAAAATATTTTTAAATGGGTCGCGATCCAGAGTCTGTAAATTTAATATTTATAAGTAATTGTCATTTTCAAATGTCAAGCGAAATTTTTATTTAACTCTCGTTTCACCTTAATTTGTGTAATTCCGGGTTATACAGATTGGGGTGTTACAATTTTGGCGGGAGTTTAGTTGCAGGAAATCTTGGCATGGGTCCACCGTAGAAATTACTGTGTAGTGGTTGTCGGCGGCCAGCACATGCGTCAAACGTCGCCTCCGCATTAAATGATTGTACGGTTGTCATGATTGGTGATTGGGTTTCAATTCATTGTTCTCTTCGGTGCTCTCCCCCTCGAAGTCATCGGTCGTCCAGAAGATATCGCAAGCAAAGTAGCGACAGAGGCACAAGTCCATGTTCTTCTTTTCTCTTTGTACGATATAACTCTTTTTTTAGAACAATGCTAAGGTTATACCAAAAGTGTACCCCATTTGTACATCACCCCCTTCTCCACTACCCATTTTTAATTAATTTTTATTTACTTTTTTTTATTTTCTTGCCCAATCATGTGGAAAGGAGGGGTGGGAGACAAAAGGAAAAGTGTTCCCTTAGCATTTTTCCTTTTTTTATGTTGGGTATTTGTTTGAGCTTGGATTATACAATCTAACAAAATCTTATAAAATTCTGTTGATAAAATACATTAATATCTACATAACTTTACATAGATTTAAAACAATCTATACATTAAGATCTTTTAAAATTTGAATTGAATACACTCTTCTAAATGCAACTCGTTAACTGATTACACTCCGCATAATTATGTTTTTATTTTATAAATTTATATAAAAATTACTACCTCCGTCCCATTTTATAACGCATGTTTCGGTTTACGATGTTTGACTGAAATTATTTTCAAACCATTTTATATGACAAATGGTATAGAATTAAAAAATAAAAATTACATATTAAAAAACTACATCAAAAGATCTACAAAACTAGTAGTGACAATAATATTTTATTTTATCAGATTGCTAACGAAAATAGAGAAAGAAAGTGAATGAAGTTTGACCCTGTGAATAGTAAACAAGCATTATAATTTGGGACGGAGGGAGTAGTATTTTAAGAATAAAATTATAATAAAAATTTTAAAAATATTCACCGTTTATTTCATTTTATTATTTTTCAAAAAAAGCATAAATTTTAATTTTTATTATTAAACTTTGGCTTCTTTTTTTAATTTTTCTATAACTAAATCAATTCATTATTATAAAAATAAAATGGTAAAATGCATATTGTATAATAATAATTAGAAAATGGAAAGATTTATACAAAGTTAATGGTATCTGAAAATATATGAAATTTATATTAATTAATGAAAAAATAATACTCCGCATAACATTTACCAAAGTTTTTAGTTTAAAATTTATATACATATATTTCGAAAAGTAGTTTTAAAAAAGGGCAAGGTTCCCCATAACATTGGAAACCAATGTCATCAGATGACCCGGGGCGCTCCAGTGTCCGGATTTTAAAATTAACGATTCCTACCCTCAACCCCCACATTTTGACTCCAAAGTCAAAATCAAGTGCAATTGAAGGGGGTGAGGGGTGTGTTCTGGTCTAGACCAGGTGGAGGAATTACTCAGTACTGAGTAGATTTTTATGGAATGGAATCCGAGCTTTAGGAAGGAGTGTCCCGTTTTAGAAAAACCCTAATCAGCTTCAGCGCAGCGCTCAATCTTCTCCTTCGCTCACTCGTTGAGAGGCAGCGATAATCTCATCAATCTCCGTCTGAAGCTTCAAGGAGGCAACCAGTTTGCGGCGCTCTGAATCAATCGCTCACAGTGATTTCGCTGGTTGCGACTCTCTGAATCATAAATTATTCTTCGTCTTCAGCAGCTTTGTCTCTCTACCAAAGCGCCCATCCCAAATGAGCTCACAGGCTGAAATGTAAAATACTATTATCTACAAATGTTTATACAATGGTTGCTTTATGTTTACATTTTATAGGATCAGATCACAGAATGGACTTGTGAAAGTCTTGGATTACAAAAGCTCTTGTTACAGTTTTGTTTTGGTAATTTTCACACTGGGTTGTTGTTTTTCATTCCCAGGGAGGTACCTTCTGGGGACATTGCCTCGCCCCAGTGCCCAAAACATGATGCTTATCTCCAAACAGTAATTCCGAAGAGAATCCAACTTTTTGAGTCCATCAAATCGCAGCAGCAAATGAAGCGCCTTTCTCTTTCCCCTGATCCTATCAAGTAGTGTTTGTTACAGAATGCCAATGTAAAGTTGATTTGTTGTGAAAAATAAATTACACTCAAGTGTTTTTTCTTATTTCTAAGGGTTGAGTTACCTGATGGGACGGTAAAAGAGGGAAAGAAGTGGAATACAACACCATTGGATATTGCAAAGGGAATATCAAATAGCTTGGCTTCAAATGCTATAATTTCGAAGGTCAACGAGGTGCTGTGGGATATGTCAAGGCCGCTGGAGGGTGACTGTAAGCTTGAGCTATTCACATTCAATACTGAGGTGGGACGGGATGTTTTTTGGCACTCAAGTGCTCACATTCTTGGCCAGGTTGTGTTGATGCTACATTAAGTATAACTATATACTTTGTGAAAAAAATCCAGAAAAGTTCTTATCTTGGGATGTTTTTTCCCATTTGCTGATTTAATTTTCTTGGTTTTTCTAATGTAGTCTTTAGAGATGACGTATGGTTGCAAGTTATGCATTGGTCCATGCACAACAAGAGGGGAGGTTTGATCCTATATCATATTCTTTTGACAAGCATAATCATTATCTTGGAATCTGTGATGATGTGGCTAATTGGTGGTGCAGGGTTTCTATTATGATGCATTCTATGGTGATGTGGGTGATGTTGGGTTGAACGCGGATCACTTTAAACAAATTGAAGCAGGCACAGCGAAAGCAGTCTCTGTAATGTCTTTTTCTTAGATGAAGTTGCCACATTTCTTCAAAACTTCTCACGACATCTGCATTATTTTTTAAATATTACTTTTGAATATACTTTTTTCAGTACGGTTGTTATACTTTGCTGCATCCATGAAAAAGAATGAATACTCATTCTTTATTGCAGTTTTATGTTTGTCCTAAGTACCAAATAGACTATCAGAAAGTGGTGCTTTTTTGAATTAGTGCTTTTACATTACTATGAACCCAATCAAATCTGCATCAAAATAGAAGGATTCCTAGTAGAAAAATCCGAAAGTCAAATATCTGATTGAGATGTTATTTTTAGTGCAAGTTTTGAGTATGTTGTAAATGATGTTATTTTTCTATTCGGTAAATGATTCACAGGAGAAACAACCATTTGAGCGCATTGAAGCTTCCAAGGAGCAAGTCCTTGAAATGTTTTCTGACAATAAATTTAAGGTTCATATTTCTATACTGGTTAGTTCATTTTGTTTTATCTGTTATTACTGACTAGCTTGTCTTATTTTCCTGCTATTTTCATTTTATTCAGGTTGAAATCATAAATGCTTTACCTGAAGAAGAGACTATCACAGTGTACAGATGTGGACCCTTGGTGGATTTGTGTCGTGGGCCTCACATTCCAAACACATCTTTTGTTAAAGCATTTGCATGCACAAATGTAGAGACTTTGGACCTTTTAAGATCCAACATGGAGGGCATTTTAGGCTATGCACGTATTTAATAATTTGTACTTTATCTTTTTTTGTATTTAGGCTTCTTCAGCATACTGGAGGGGAGATCATGACCGAGAAAGCTTGCAAAGGGTTTATGGCATATCTTACCCTGACCGAAAAAGCTTGAAGGTGATGTTGAATGCTTTTGCTCACTAAATGATTTTATATATTTGCAATATTTTGAGTAGTTGACAATACACATTGGATTTATTAGTTTTGCAATTGATTAGATTCAACTTATTATGGCATTTACTGCTGTTTTTATGCTTTAGGAGTCCTTGCAATGGCACTGTTTGTATATTTTGTTAGCTTCCATTTTTAATTAACACTTGGGAGGATAGAAAATAGAGATTTAGAATAAAAAATGTAGTCCTTCTCTGGTGTGTAATAATTTGGTTTATTAGGAGCTTAACGGTGTCTAGGGGATTAAAATGATGGTAAAGTGCATTTTGTTAATACTATTAAAATGGAAATCTTCTCTTGCAGGAATACTTTGCAATGATAGAAGAAGCAAAGAAATATGATCACAAGGAACTGGCTAAGAAGCAGGAGCTATTCTTCTTTCACCCTTCAAGGTTTGGAAATGAGTTTTAGTCCTAGTAGTCTTGAACTGGACGGTCAAGATTTCCACTGTTGTTCATGCTACTATTTTTTTTCCTTTTTATTTAGCCCTGGAAGTTCCTTCTTCCTTCCTTATGGTGCTAGAGTGTACAACAAACTCTTGGAGTTCATACGCAGTGAGTACTGGAAGCGAGGTTATGAAGAGGTATTTAATTCTTTTAATTTTTAGTTTATTGTGTGTTGGTACAAGTAGAACCAGACACTCATTACGACCTTTTAATCTTGGTATGGAACTTTATATAATAAAAAATGATTATATTCTACCCTGCCTATTTCCTATGAGCAAAATATTTAATGCAACTTTGACAGGTATGGACCCCCAATATCTACAATATGCAGCTTTGGGAAACTTCTGGCCATGCTGCAAAGTATAAGGAGAATATGTTTGTATTTGAGGTGAGGCATTCTCTCCTCTGAGGGAACTGTACTTTATTTATAGTAATGAAGTACGGAGAACTTGAGTGGCAACCTGAATAAGTAAGCACAATACTCAATTGGCAATAGAGGTGCTCCTTTGTCAGAGGCACATTTAATTGAATCTAAAATTTATGATACCTGATAATATTGAATTTTGAACTTGGGCAGTAGATTGATAGGATTCTTATGTCTTTTGCAGGTTGACAAACAAGAATTTGGCCTCAAGCCGATGAATTGCCCTGGCCATTGCTTAATCTTTGATAATAGACCCCGCTCCTACAGAGGTAAGCTCGGTCTGTCCTTGCGATTAGCTTTTAGAGTAAGCTTTCTCTTTATTCCATTAATTCCTTTTATTGAAATCTGGCTATTATTTGACCACACAGAACTACCACTTAGACTGGCAGACTTTGGGGTTCTGCATAGAAATGAGGCCAGTGGTGCTCTTACTGGATTAAAACGTCTTAGAAGATTTCAGCAGGTAAGTTTATTTTTCTTTGGAGGGGAACATAGTTAATAGATACATAATAGGTTAGAATGGTTTCATTTCAAGTTGTACAATATGTTCATTTTGGTTGTGCTATATTTTAACCCATAGCATTGCAGGATGATGCTCACATCTTCTGCATGAAGTCTCAGATCAAAGATGAAATCAAAGGTGTACTAGAGTTCATCAATTATGTCTATCAGATATTCGGTTTCACCTATACGTTGAAGTTATCTACAGTATGGCCTTCACTTCTGTCATGACATGTGATTTTTAATCATGATATGACTGCAATAATCTATATCCCGCATGTTCAATTGCAGAGACCAGTCAATTTTATTGGAAAAGAAGAAACTTGGGATGATGCTCAAGCTGCTCTTACTGATGCACTTGACGAATTTGGGAAACCATGGGAGGTTGGTTGATAAAATCTTATCATATGAATGATGTCCATTTGACCTTAATTAAGGATATTTCTTTCCTTCCCTTTCCAAGTACGTGTAAATTTGTAGTATGAAATTGTCCTTGTGTTATTTATTTATCAGGGGTACCCTATGCTGGCAATTATTTGTATCACTTTAGTCAAGGATCAATGCAATCATAATATTTGGTTCATGCTATCAAGTATCAAAGCAATTGTAATACTTGGTTCATGTTATTCTGTTTCCCTGCCTCTGGCGTGATTGGTAGATATATGGTGTTCTACGCTATGTTTGGTTGAAGGAACTTGAAAGAGAAAAGAAAAGAAAATGTTATAGGAAACAATTTTTCTTGTTTAGATAGTGAGGAAAAGAAATGAAAAGTGAAAGGAAAAGAAAAGCACAACAAAAGATAAGGTAAGAAGGAAAACTAATTTCCTTCCATTTTGGTGTGGAAAAAGAGATTAAGCCTTGTCTTTTTTTTCCTTTTTAATTTCTTGAACCAAACATAGTGCTTGGTTCCTAAGTTTCACATTCACTTCACCATACTCTTTATTGCTTTTTTGTATATAAGTAGTTGATTAATGATCTTCATCAATATTACTTTTGAGTTTTTTCTCTCTATAATTTTATTAAAATTGTCTACAATTTTACAGTTATTATCAATCATTTTATATTATGTTGCATATATTTTGGGGTAGGTTGGATATGAAAATCAAATATCATATTGACGGGAAATTTCTTTGGAACTTGGTTGAGTATGTTAAGTGATGTCATCTGGTGTTTTTAAAGAAATCTGTCGTAATGAAGTCATTTGTTATGACTATTTTTAGTCCACTTACCATGTGCTTTGGCTTAGTTAAGATAATGATCTGTTTCTTGGGTATTGCACTTTTTGTTCCCATTCATTTTTGGGGTACCACACCACTGACTTTTAATTGGATGATATCAGAGGAATGAGGGCGACGGTGCCTTTTATGGGCCAAAAATTGATATTAGTGTTTCTGATGCAATGAAAAGGAGCTTCCAATGTGCAACAGTGCAGGTTTTCTTGCATCAACTCTTCTTTGTTTTTATTTATCGGGTTCTTGATATTGATATGCTTTGTTATACTTCTTTCATGATAGTAATATTTGAACTGAAGTTTGTAAAATTTATTTACATGGTGTTTTTCAGCTGGACTTTCAACTCCCTGAGCGCTTCAACTTATATTATACTTTAGACGAAGAGGGTAAAAGGGAAAGACCAGTTATGATACACAGAGCTATCCTTGGTTCTGTGGAACGCATGTTCTCCGTACTTTTGGAGCACTACAAGGGAAAGTTTCCCTTCTGGCTAAGTCCACGCCAGGCTATGGTTTGCCCCGTAAATGAAAAATTCCAGTCATATGCCCTTAAGGTTTGTATGGCTTAAAATTCTTTCTTATTTGTTACTTCACTTGATACATGTGACTTTATTTTCTCTTTTGCCTATTATCACATATATCTTCCTTAGTATACCTTCTATCGTGCTTGATCCAGCTGCGAGATCGGATTCATGACGCCGGTTATCATGTTGATGTTGATACATCCAACAGAACAATTCAGAAAAAAGTGAGCCTAAAAAACTATCTCGATAGCTGCTAGTTACCTGAAAGCTTTATTAAACACTGAAATTCTTGATTTTCCTGACAGGTACGTGAAGCCCAGGTTGCTCAGTACAACTACATATTAGTGGTTGGTCAACATGAAGAGACCACAGGAGAGGTATGCTATCTTTTTTTTGGTTGCAAACTTCATATTTCTTACTTTATAGATACTCTCTGACCCATGTAAGGTTTTGGTTCAACCTGATGTAGTTATTTAGAAACTGAAAATGTGGTTGAAATTTGGGAAACAAATTAAAGTAGAAGTAAAACATTGAAAATATACCTGAATAGGAGTTCCATGTTTTTATTCCCGAAATAGGAGTTAAAATACATTTACATTACAATCATGACCATGTACATTACGTAAAATGTACATGTACAATGCCATATTACCATTAGGGAATAAAAACATGGAACTTCTATTTTGGTACTTTTTCTATGTTTTAGTCTTATTTAGGGTGATTTCTTTTGAAATTTTATGGATGAAAAGGAAATAAGATAAAGGACACAATCCTTCCCTCAAAAGAAAACAAAGAACCCATATTTTGGAATAAACTAAAGCTCCGTTTGGCATTAGCTTTAGCTCTAGTGTTTTGACCATTCTATCCAATGGTAGCTTTTAGCATCTGCGTTTCAAAATTTAGTTTGCACCCTTAAAACTGTTAGATGCTTCATCAACTGGTTTTAAATTGTTTTAGGTGAGCGTCCGATTACGAGACAAATCTGATCTCCAAGTTATGAAAGCTGAAGAGCTTCTTTCCCATTTCAAAGAGGTGGTGGAATCATACAAGTAAAAATGCACGAGGATGAGGATGATGATGAGAGACCAAAAACTGTTTTCTATTTGGTCGTCATTTAATTGTTTTGTTCTTGTAGTAGATTTTGTTGGGTTTTGGTTTTTATTCATGCAGCGAATGCATAAATTTTGAATGCATTTAAGTTAGTAAACCATAATTATTATACATGGGCTAATAATTTTGTTTATTCATCGGCTAGAGAGTCTCTTGAAAGAGGGAACTTGAGTTATGGAAAGAGTTATATGGCTTATTATAACTGGGCGGTTCATGTGACATTGTCTCGTAATGTCATGACATAACCCGGGGGTGGTTCATGTTTTTCTCTTATTAAGGGTTATTTCCTTACAGATTTTGATTCCCGAGGAACAAATTTTATTGACTTGGGTGCATAAATGCAAGGATATGAGGTTTATTTTGCTAAGCAAATATAAAAATTTCATGTGACATTTATATATTGACACCATGACACTAAAAGATGATATATATATATATATAAGAGCTCGGTTTTATGGCCACTGGCCAGTGATCACGGAAGCTACTGCCCTTCTACGGAGTTTTGTTCATAAAATTGATTATTTCTACTTCCTCTAACCCTCCTGGTAACCACCGTCAAGTCTTGACCCAAACTAATCACTCTATCTATGTTAATTACACCTCGTAAGTATAATTGACTTTAAAGTCAAAAGTTTTGACTTTATACTTACAAGATACAATTGACGTAGGTGAATTGATTACTTTGGGTCGGGACTTGGCGGGGGGTTTATCAAGGATTAGGAGAGTAGGAATCATCAATTTTATGAACGGAGTTCCATAGGGGTACAATGGCTTCCGTGGCCACTGGAATCTAGTGACCATAGAACCGAGCTCTTTATATAATGACACCAAAATCATTTATACATAATCATACTCAATATTTATATAATGAATACTAACTTTAAAACTATGTAAGAATTTGACAAAACGATTAATGCTAAATATAAATTCAATAATTTTCAGAAGTGAAAGAAGCAGATGGGGCAAATAAATAAATAAAAGAAAAAAAATTCAGAACGAAAAGATAGAAATAAGATTAAAAGGTTCTTCAAGGGTTTTTGCCGCACTCACTAAAATGGAATGAAACATGGGACAAATTCAAGCCTCTTTGGGGGTTTTAGCCACAATCGACAGAGCGTGGAGTCCGGATCCGAGCTCGCCGGCGAGAAGGCCGTACACCATGCGGTGCCGTTTCACGAGGCTCTGGCCGTCGAATATGTCGGAGACGATCTTCACGTTGAAGTGCGTCTCGCCGCCGGATCCGCTATCCTTCACGGCGGCGTGGCCGGCGTGCTGGTGGGAGACGTCTTCGACTTCGATCAGGACCGGTTTCAGCTCGGAAGACAGCTTCGTCTTGATTCGGATCGCTCTTGATGCCACAGCTCTGGAAGCCATCGCTACTTTTCTCGTGGCTCTGCTCTTGGTTCCCCCACTCTTTCTAACTTACTGCGCTACAGAGTACTTAAATAGTTAAATCCCCAATTCAATTTACAGTTATCCTGATCTTAAAATTAAATATTCTTACCCCTAATCTTTCGGTAAACCCCTAGCCCATCCCATCCCCAATGGTCCCTCGCACCCATTCCAATTTCGTTGTACCAAATTTTGTCGACTTTTTGGTCAAATTTGAGGCCAAAAATTTAGTGCAATATGATTTTAGTTATATCTAAAACTATTTCTGATCTGATCCAAAATTATTTTATGGTTCTGATATGATTGGAAGAAAAACTGATCTGGTCAGACTATCTGATCGTAGTATAGTTATATCTAAAACCATTTCTGATCTGGTTTCAATAAAAACAAAGTAATAAGAATAAATTGAAGAGAAAATGACGTGAGTATAAAATACTAAGAACACCACTAAATATGAGTAAAGTTTAAGGACTAAATTATATCTCTAAAATAGGACCTAAAACTTAAACTATGACATCTTATTTTCGACTTCCCTTCCATTCTCGATGGATCTATCCCACTTCATCACTCATATGCCATCGCCCAAACTATGATGCCCTTTTTGACATCATGTTTTGATATTATTTGATATTATAAATCCTTTTTTGGTATAAAAATAATAAAAGTCTTAGATTAGTACATATATAGAACATGTTTTAGTTTCAGAGAGAATAAAAAGTTAACTACGGTAAGCTACTCATTATTTTTTATTTAAAACATAAAGCAAAAACTAATTCAAAAAAATGAAAGAAAAATAAAAAAAATTATTTTAAAACAAAAGAAAATGCATGAACATATCAATATCACAATAAGTTGAAGAACAAACACCCCACATCTTAAAAAAAACACGTACTCATCTGTGCTGCGTACATTATATAGAGTAAGTTCACCCATGGATAAATCTATTTTAACATCATAATTTGATACTAAAATTTGACATTAAATACTTCACAAATGTATATAGATAATGACTATCTTTACAGTCTAAAAAACTGACTGTTTATGAAATATATGACATATATATCACACTATTTATTGTGAAGTATGATGAATTAATTGACTAATCAACATGTATATTGGGCATCTATGATAGACTTAGGGGCTCCATCCAATAAACAATCAATAGGGGGTATAGTCAAAGTCTCTTGCGCCCCATAGGCGTTCCAACAAAAGGGGTCATCCACCAACTCCCCTTCATAGGGTAACAGCTCCACCTCCGACATGACTATCCCGGTGCACGCCACCGCGTCGCTGCACGCAAAGTGTATCGGCGGGTTTCGCACGTCGTACGTCCCCTTTATGTTGCGGAACGAGACATCCCTCACGTACACTGCGGACGTCTGGTTCCGGCAGTCCTTGCTGAGGCAGTAATACTGGTCGATGATGACGCAGTTGCGCACATTCTCTACCTGTATGTTGTCGAACGTGATCCCCGTCACCGATCCGGACCCACCTTGCCACGTCTTGATCCGTAGCCCGTTGTCCGACTCCTTTATCACGGCATTTGTTACTGTTACATTCGAAACACATGCCTGGGAGTTGTGGATCCCAAGACTCCCAATGCTGTGCCAAGAAATATAAAACCGGAGTATATTATTTTCCGAGGAATAAACTCAATCAAAAACTTAAACTTGCAGTGGTTGGTTGGTTTCATTCAGTTTAAAAAAATAATAAAAAAGAAGAATGCGGTTACAATTTTTTAAATGAGAAAAATGTTTTCTGAACCTCGTATCCATTGTCAAACAAAAGAAGAAATTGTTTTTTTTTAAATGTTTTAAGAAAAGAAAATTAAAAAAACAAACCAAGAGAGAAGAGTAAAATGACTATAATCACCCTGACTCAGTTGATATTCCTCCCAAAACAATGATCCATTACCTGATTCCATGACTGGGCCCACAAGTAACAGCGTCAATCTCAACATTAGAACAGCCTGGCCCAATTGATATGCAATCGTCCCCTGGTAAGGTTAAACAAGTAAAATTACTGGACGGTAAAATGGAGCCAAATTAAATATTCCACCCTTCCCTAAAAAGTGGCTTTTAAATTATTCCAAAACAATTTTCTTTTTCGGGTAGGAAGAAAAAGGAAAGATAAAAAGAGGAAAACAAAATTGAAGAAATGAACTAAAGAAAGAAAAATTGTTTTCTACCTATTTTAGTAAACAAAATGAGAGAAAACACTTTGATTTTCTCCCTATTTCATTGGTACTATATTTAAAAATATTATGTTTTTATGATCATAAAGTCTACGTGTGAAATATCGACTTTCTCAAATTTTTCATGGACTATCATGTACTCTCTCCGTCCTAAGATTAACTTCCCATTTGACTTTTCACGGTCTCCAATGCGACACTTTAACCATCAATATCTCATTTTTTATATAAATATATTTTATAAAAAGTATATATTTCAAAACTATGTTTCAAAATGAATCTATTGCTAATAAATTTATATGAAAATTCAATGTATTTTTTCCGTAATATACGGTCAAAGTTTAAAAAGTTTGACTACAAAAGCCAAACTGGGAAGTTAATTTTATGACAGAGGAAGTGGAACTTTTTCATTTTTTGCAAAGGGTTCAATTATATTAAGATATTTATGTACTAAAGTTCATTAAGTGAATATGAACTTAAAAATCACGGAAAAATCTACATTTAATACAATGTATTTCAATAAGGTTCTAATGACTATTCTTATCCTATGACACTAGTTAATTTGAATATGACAAATTATATGATGAACCTAAATAAGCAGATAAGCATTTCCTTATTACTTAATAAAAAACAAACACAGATAATTTTAGTAGAGAGACAATATTATGTACTCGTATTTTATTATCCAAGGTGAAATCGCTCACCCCGGGCGCCCCTCACCCCCGACCAGACGGGAATGTGAGAGAAGGTAAATCACGGTGACTCAAGCACAACACTTAGCTAGATCATATCCTAGTGCGCACCAGAGACTCCCCCAATTTTCAAAGGTGGTCGCCTCCACAACAGTCACTGCCAGATTTCGATCATTGGTCATTCTCCAAACTTCACCAAGTGTTTACCACTTGGGCTACCCGTGCGGGTATGTACTCGTATTTTAGGAGTAAGAGATGGGGGTAAGTAAATTATACCGTTGGCAATAACGGAGTTGTGGATTTTAACGTTTTTGGTGTCTTGGACGTGGATGCCGTCAGTGTTGGGGCTGAGCTTGGGAGAGGAGATGGAGAGGTGGTGGATTTCCACTCCATCGCAGCCGTCGAATTTTATGTGGAACTGGGGACTATTCTGGATCCGTACACCTCCCACCACCAGATTGGAGCTCATGAAAAACCGGATCAGCTGTACGTCCCACACAACAGAACAAATTTAAAACTCCCGATCAAATTAAAACGAGCAATGCTAGGTGTACCCCAAATGTACACCACCCTCTTTTCCACCACCCATTTTTATTTTATTTTTATTTATTCATTTTTTTTTAAATTTCTTGCCTTTTTTGGGTGGACAAGGAGGGGGTGGGGGACAAATGGGGTACACATTTGGTGTACCACTAGCATTTTTCAATTAAAACCGTGAAATTTTGATTCCCAAAACGTCGTCGTACTCGTCGACCTGTCACTGCTACTTACCACTGGACTGTCACATGGTCCTTTCAGTGTTGCCCCATTTGGTCCCTGAAAATTGAGCATTTCTCTCCCCGTTTAGCACTCAATGTTTACTCTATAAATAAACAAAATTTATTAGAGTAATAATCACCCACATTTGGAAATAACTCACATTTAATCTATTGGCCCGGTTCTAGTGATACCGGACAACGGTGCCACTCCATTTTTGAGACACATCTGGTGTTCCGTTCGTAAAATTAACGGTTCCTACTCCTTCTAACCCACCCCTAAAACCCCTACCGTACCCCAGCCATCACTCCCACCCCAACCCCGCCGTAAGCCCTCACAAAATGTGTGACTATTATGCAATAATTTTAATTTGAAACATAGTTTAAAGGAGATACATAAGGAGTACTAATTACTCCCTCCGTCCCAAAAAGTCTTTCATGTTTCATTTTTTGCACATTCCATAAAACACTTCTACCGACATTTAAAATGCTTAAAATTTACAATATTTCTTCTTTACTGTGGGTAGAAGTTATTTTAAAAGTTTTTTTGGCTTTCAAGGCGGGATATAAGTGTTTTATGGGATGCGTAAAAAATGAAACAGGAAAGACTTTTTAGGACCGAAGGGAGCAGTAATTAAGAAAAAAAATTACCCTATGAGGTTTGCAGGGGAGATCCCACCACTTTTGTCCATTTCCTTCAATAGTTCCGGTGCCATTCAAGGTCATATCATCGAGCTTATAAAACACAATCCACTGCTTTGCGCTGTCCTTTTCCGGCCAACATTCCGGCCCCTCCGGCGGCATCAACACTCCGTCCACCTTTCATATATAACAAATTATCAGATATTTCCCCACACTGTCTTTCATGGAACATTTGGCGGCTTAATTTTTTCAGCTAATAATTTGATTCTGGCAACCATCTAATGATCTGAGAATTCTTTACCTGAAATACAAGCCCAGGCTTGCAGGGACCGGAGAAGATGGTTGAGGTGATCAAGAAAGTGTGGGCCGGAGGGGCCCACAGAACGGCAGACTCGACCTGACAGGCGGCCTTCCACGACGCCACAAACGCCGCGGTGTCGTCACTGCTCCCGTCGCCGACGGCCCCGTAATCCGTGACGTCGAAAACGCACGGACCCGAGTCCTCATCAGACGGAGAGGGCGAAGCAGGGTCGGAGGGAACTACCGGAGAGGGCGAAACGGGGTCGGAGGGAACCACCGGAGAGGGCGAAGCAGGGTCGGAGGGAGCCACCGGAGAAACAGGGGCATCTTCGTCATTCCTCTGTTTCTTGGAAATGTGAAGTCTTCCTTCCACAGCATTACTGCTCAGTGATGCAATAGCGGTGACGGTGAGGAGGAGGATCAGGGTGGAGCAGCGGCGGCGCCCGGTGGGCACTTCCATAGCTCAGCTAAGAATGCATGCAAGACATCAACCGGTAGTTAAC